TTCAAAGGCCTTGTGTGACAGGTCTCTAGAAGCTCCCACGCGGGTGCTTCGTTCACCCTCCCGCATTGGATTTAAGCCCCACTGCCTTGTGGGTCAGACTTTTGAGTCAAAGGCTCCGGTTAGGGTTTGCATGCAAACGACACGAATGGTTAGTCACATTAGTTTTGCCTTGGTGATTGACCCCCTACCCTATCTCATTCCCCCTTTTTGTGTTTTTTCGTTGCGTTGTCCGTTGTGATTAGCGATCTTGTGTTTTTTCTCTCAAATCGTTTATCTCACTGACTATAAAAATCATTGGACTGCAGTATGCACGTGTACAGATGCAGCGAAATAACCATGGATACATTGTGCAAACCCATGTTTCTGACTTCTCTGTTCAAATTTGTAAGGTTAATCAAACCGGAGTCAGTTTCTGTTTATGGCAGATCGAATGGCAAATAGTTTCGCTCCTCTTGAAGCGCGTGTAGAAAATGCATTAGTTGTTTGTTTGAAATTCCAGATTTTCTTTGTAGAAAAGACCTGATGGAAATAGGATGGTGCTCTTGAACGTTTATGTATGTTCCAAGTACAATTCAGCATACGAATCGGTCATTGGGTTTCGTTAATACTGTTTCAAGGGCCTCCTCGTTTTCTTTCTTTTGCATTAAACAGATTTTCGAATAGCTGTTGGTAAATTTCGTGTATGAAACTGCTTTCATAATACAGAAGTTACGAATATTTTTTTATAATTGTGATTTCGGATAATACGCTCATTTTCTTATGCCCCACCCACACAACATGATTTGTTAAATTCAAATTAATTTTCATTTCGATTACCTGATCCTAAAATTCCCTATCTCTTCCCCGTGCACTTTCAGTTAACCGCTTGAAGTTGATTTGCCCGAATGCCAATTTTATTAGATCCCTACTATTGTCACGAGCAGATACCGATTCCATCGGCTTTTCCCGACATTCTGAAACAATTCACTAAGGCTGCGATTCGTACACAACCGAAAGATGTGCTAAAATGGTCACACGCGTAAGCCGAATTTGTGCCGTTTTCGTTCATGATAATTCCCTATTTGCAGGTATTTCAAAGCACTGGCACATAACGAGCCTCTACCGGTGAAAGAACGTCTAGAGGTCCCGATTAGCACACAGAAAACAGACACGGGACTAACACCCGGAATTTTACGGATTCTGAACAATCAAGTGCGTTGGGAATGATTGCATGAAATAGAAATTTATTTTTGCATACTCTGTTTATTCAAGGGATGGACACCATTTGACTAAAGTTGCTGACCCTACTGCACACAGAAAAACGTATGGAAGGATTGCTTGATGTCTACTTCACTGAGTCCTATAATCAGAATTTTCGGTATTTGATACCCATACAGAATTTTATAAAGATGAAAAAAGAATAGCATACTAGAATGTAAATATAAACTAAAGTATGTGAAGAGATGCAACATAGTTTTCAGTGTGGAGAAATTTAGAGGGTATAAGACATCCTTCGTTTTACGATTGTGTTCTACCAGAGAGAATGAGTGGGTTTTTCAGATGTTTCAAATGTCAGCTTTCTCGGAAACTCGGTTAGTGTTGTTCAAATCGCGGTTTCAGGGTTGGATTCCGTAGGCCATATAGACCTAGGCGTTTGGGGTTCAAATTCATCGTGTCCAACCATCCTCTAGTCCACTCGCCACTGTATCCATGGAATAATCATGAGAATGCGTTACGAAATCGCAAATCCAGTATTTTCTGGCATCTATATTTCAACGGGGTACAAGTAGTCTTTACATCAATGGGTGCAAACTACAAAACAGCACATCAACGTCTCACCGTAAAGCTTTTA